GTTGTATTTTAAGTAAAGGTTTTTAATAATAGTTCAGTACAGTGTCCATCTATTGAGAGATAACTGAACTTCCAAGTATATTCTCTCAGTTATGTGGCCCGCTGTGAAAAAAGTTTCGTGACCCTTGGTCTAGAACAATGAATGTACTTCACTGCTGAATATTGTATTTAACATGTGTCAATTTGAGAGTATATATAGTGATCTATGCTACAGTGTACAGCACAGATACTGGTCCCAACTGAAGGAATTTTAGTTACAATGTCATAGTCCTACTGAATTCTGCCTACTATGTCGAGAAACAATTAAATCAAGTTTAAGAGCTCATAGATGGCAGTACGGTCTTGAGTAACTTCTGTGGTGTATAAAAATGGCATGGGTTTTCTACCTCCTTATTTTAATATAATATTTATCGGAATTAATTAGTTATTCTAGTATTTACAGTTTTCACATAATACGTAGTCATATAAAGCCGTTAAGTTTGTTTTATTATAGTTGTATTTGGTATTCTTTTGAGGTAACAACGAAAATCCCCGTGGAATCTGGAAATGTAATGATGCATATTGTACACAGTTGTCGACAGCAATGCTCTCAAATGGCAGGTCAGTAGATGCTTGAAGGTTACGATTTCCTTTAAGTTTGAATGAGAGTGACCAGTCATAAGGGTGTCATTAATTGCTGTGGCTGAGTCTAGCATTACCTTTCAAGTAGGTAACATAATGTTTAAATAGTTTGGTAGATTATCTCAGACAGATTAATCAGATAGAAGTTATCTCTGATTTAGTAAATATGATTATTCATTATCAAACAAGTAGGCACACACACTGTGTTTGTGTTAGCCTGAATAATAAAGGTGGTTTATTTGTATTTGATACTGTGTCCAGTCTCTTTATTTTGTTCTCATGAACTCATCTATTCAATAAACTCACAAATGTTTTTTTTTTTTGTTGACATGTGTATTTTCCTTTGCGCCTTTTATTTGGTTATTAAGTTTAAAAAAGGTTTTAACAATACAGAAATGCCCATTTCTACAACTTGAAAAATCTATGACCAAGAGAAATAGGCTGTATATGGAAGGAAATTGTTGTTTGAGAGAGTTGTCGAGCCTAGAAGAAGTCCTTTCCTGGACAATGGACTTTTGCAGATACTATGAAGATACATGATTTCCACCTCATTGCAGCCGACATCTCGGGAAAAAGAGCCACCAATGTATGGTGTATCCAGAATAGCTATTTGTACTCTTCCCTTTTGGATTAACCTTGTTGCAAGGGGAGCACGGAAGTGAGTTTGAGACCAAATGGGACTGACTTTCTTTTTTTTTTGTACTATATCAGTTACTATAGCGAGTACAGAAAGGTCATTTTCAAAGCTGAGATTGATCAAAAACTATCTTAGAAATTATATGATCTAGGAGAGATTGACAGAACTGTTAACCTTAAGCATAGAGGGCAAACGAACTATGCAATTTGATATGAAAGCCTTAACAGAAGAGTTTGCGCAAAGAAAAGGCGACACGGCAACCTTACTTTCGGTGAAATAAGTTTCATGATGCAACAAGTTGTGCTGTTCTACTGTCTTATAGCAGCAAGGAGACACCAATATTTCTGTTCTTCGGGGGTTAGAAAGCTGATGAATACTTTACTGAGAACAATTTCAAGAAACAAAAATTCAGACAATTACTTTGTATATTTTGATTGGGGGGGGGGAGATTTGGTTTCATAGGGAAGTTGATTAAGATTAAAAGGAATCAAATTAATCTTGTTTATGTAATTGTTATTCATTTTGGTTAAAATTTTAAACAAAGTGTTTAAGATTAAGTTAAATTTTATCTGTGATTAGGGGAAGGTGGGGAGCTTAAATTATAATAATAACAACAAACAAACAATAAATTTTATTGTTTGTTTGTGTGTTAGTAGATAACCACAAAGCTACACAATGGGCCTTCAGTGCTGTGCCCACCAAGGATATCGAAACCCGGTTTCTAGCGTCATAAGTCTGCAGACTTACCGCTGTGCCACTGGGGGGGGGGGTATATAATAATAATAATGTCTAAGACATTTATTTGTGCCACATTTTGAAAACTAAAAGTGCCGCACCTTGTCTGTACTGAATTTAGAGCTCCTCCCATTATATTTTGCAGGGAAGGTAGCATGTTATTTTACGCCATTGCAATAAATGTCTGGCAATAATAGATAAAGTAAAAAAGATTATATACTGATTCCTCATTATCTAACTAAAATCTCAATGATTCAAGACGTCTAGCCTAACTGTCACTTTATATATAAAGATCAAATTATTTCCTAAACTTTTGAGAAAGTTCTTGACATAAAAGGTACGACAATCTAGACATATTTTTCATTACTCTGTTTTATTTCAAGACCAATTTTCAGCCTTCAAGCCACGAATGAAACACGTTTCTTGGTTCTTGGGTCCTTGGAGATTTATAAAGTATTTGGAATTATTATACATAATTTTCTTTTGCTCAGTATACGTACTTCAACATATTGTCATATTGCCATTTAATCTATGGTCCTATATTCAAAATAACGTGTTTGTGCTTGTTAAAGGTTCTGAGACAGCTGTCACTCTGTTGGATTTTTCTTCGATCTGACTACGCACATGTCAAATGTTTAGGTATATGTATATTCAATTGACCTCAAATCAATTTCTAAAGTTTACACAATACCTTAGTGGGGTATAGCGTATTTGAATGGTAAAAATATTCAATAACTATTTTCTTAGTAAATAGATGGCAGCAACACTGTAAAAGTACACAGCAATGTTTAGTAAAAGGCGGAAATAGTTGTCCCAAAGAATATTTTTAAACGACTAGCTTTACTAAAAGATATTCCAATTTTTTGCTTAAAACATAAATACTTATTTTTTTATTTACGAATTTAATGACTGAAAGGAAACTAGAATCTTGGCGCGCATTTGGCATTATCTCTTAATGCTGTATCTCTGTTTATAAATGGTTCTGCTTACTGAACTTATATGTATCCACTCACTAAGTGACACACATCAACTTAAAGAGGCGGAATGGAAATATAATGAACTTTATCATAACTATTTAGTTTCAATTTTATTTTATGGCGTATATCAAATTAGCCTTATTAAAAAGATTAATTGTAGAATCATATTTTATTTTTTTATAATTTTTCGTCGCCGACATATCGCCATCTATAGGCAAATCAAGTCACGTGAAACGATAGATTAAAGTACAATTCGAGCTTGAATTTGACTTATGTTAAGTTAGGCGAGTGTGATCAAGGCCAAGACTGTGTCGCTTGCCAGCTATGTTTTTTTCAAAAAATTCAACCATGTTTATCTATCTTTTTTTATTAGTATTTGGAAACTGTGTGGATGGAAAAAAAATGTTTCTAGGTGGGCCACGTCATTGGTCAAGTAAGTTAAGACTGGCAGATGTTAAACAATCACTCCCAGCTGAACAGTGGGTAGTTCAAAAACTGGACCATTTCAATCCAGCAAATACAGAGACTTGGAAACAACGATACTTTATTAACGACACTTTTTACAGACCTGGAGGGCCAGTGTTTCTTCAAATTGGTGGCGAAGGAAAGGCAAATCCAATATGGATGATAGAAGGCCAATGGATTAAGTATGCAAGTAAGTTTAGAGCTTTAGCTGTTATGGTGGAACATCGATTCTATGGTAAAAGTCATCCTACAACAGATATGTCTGTTAAAAATTTGGTTTATCTTAGCAGTGAACAGGCTCTTGCAGACCTTGCATATTTTCGAAATTTTTTAAGCAATAAATTAGGTCTTCAAAAGAGTAAGTGGATTGCATTTGGAGGTTCCTATCCTGGATCTTTGGCTGCATGGTTTCGACTTAAATATCCTCATTTAGTAGATGGAGCAGTTGCTTCAAGCGCCCCATTTTTGGCCAAAATTGATTTTAAAGAATATTTAGGAGTAGTTCGTGAATCGTTAGCAACCTCTGGCAAAGCATGTAACACAGAAATAAAAAAAGCAGTAGATTTAGTTGAGAAACTACTACAACACCAAGTTGGATGGCAGATGATAGAGAAAACGTTCAAATTGTGTGACCAATTTAATGCTACAATAGAGAAGGACGTGTCAAATTTTTTCAGTTCTCTTGTAGAACAGTTTGAAGATGTTGTTCAATATAACAAAGATAACAGAGACTTTGAAGGATCAAAAGCAACCAACATCACTATTGACACCCTTTGTAGTATAATGAATAACACTAGCAAAGGTTCGCCATTGCAACGCCTAGGAAAGGTCAACTCGTTAATTCTTGAAACTTATGGAGAAAAATGCCTTGACCATAGATATGAAAACACAATTAGAGAAATGAGAAACTTGTCATGGAATAGCAGTGCTGCTGAAGGTGGTCGTCAGTGGACTTATCAGACATGTGTGGAGTTTGGGTACTTTCAAACTTCTAACTTGAAAGACCAACCTTTTGGTCACCATTTTCCCACAGAGTTTTTCACACAAATGTGCAGTGATATATTTGGGCCAAAATATTCAAAGGATTTGGTGTTGGAAGGTATCGATCGTACTAATACAATGTATGGTGGAAAAGATCTCAAAGTGACAAATGTTGTGTTTCCCAATGGATCCATTGATCCCTGGCATGCACTAGGCATCATTAAGGATTTATCTCCTAGTGCTGTAGCTATCTTTATAAATGGTTCTGCTCACTGTGCTGATATGTATCCAGACTCTCCAAATGACCCACCTCAACTGCAAGAAGCAAGATTGAATATTGAGAATCATATTGCTAAGTGGCTGCAACATGCTGCATAGAATAAGAGAAATTTAACTAAATTTAAATTTGTATTCTTAATTGAGTTATTCATGAATTGATTTTCTTTATTTTCATAAGTAATTCCATTATATTTTAAAACATTACTCTTTTAAATACTTAAATATTAACCAATTTTTAACTATTTTTGGTCATTTATTTGATAAAGATTTTCTCTTAAATGATATTAATTAAATACTCACCTTATACTGTTTTTGGTGTTATGTACTTTTTTCAAGTGGCAATATTTTATAATGGTTTATTACAAATATTCAACTGCAAGTATTACTAATGAATAAACAGATGTGTATTTATATTTTTTCATTATTTTATGTTAACCTGAGAGGAACCAGGATAATAACGTATTCTGTGGTGTAGGAAGGAGTTGCTAAGTGGGGTTGTTTAGCTACACATGCAGATTTTGGAGGTACTACAGTACTTTCGCACCCTCGGTTTAACTATTTCTCTTTATCTATCCCACACAAGTCTGAAATTTGTGGTTTAATACCTCATTAGTGTAATTTTTAAATTTTTTATCTGTCCACTACGTTTTGTGATAAGATATACTAACCTTATACAAGAAGAAGTACCGATATATTTCGATAAACATTTGGCTCAAATTTAAATAATAAGGAAACAATAATAAATAAAATGTACGAAGGTATGCAATTTTCGTAGTATACATAGATAGATATAAATAACATACGGACAACAAGAGACAAACTGCCACTCCCGAGAAAAAGTTAAAATTTAAATTCAACTTTTATTTTCCAGGAAATCGTCATCTCCACTTGTACTTTTATAATGTGCCGCCCTCTACTACTGCCAATGATAACTCGTTCTGTAAGTTAATCACCTCCTAGAAAAATGTAGTTGCCTTATATGAAACCTTGCTTGTATTTTCCAAATATTGAATTTGTCTTCTCAAACACACAAAAATCGGAGGTTCTCCCAGATAATCTCGTAAGCTTCAATAAGATCATCAATTATCCTTCTGTTCTTAAGAGAAAATAAGAAATTTTAACCTACACCAATAACCCTTCCGTACCCGGAATGGTCAAACTTAATTGCCCTCCCTGTGAACCCTTTCTAATAGGTCAATGTTCTTTCTTAGATAAGGAGACTAAAACTATACACCCCCACCCTCAGTGGCTCAACGATAAGTCTGAAGGCTTATAACACTTAAAGCTGTGTTTCGATATCCGTGGTGGGAACATCAAAGATAACCTATTGTGTTGCTTTGTTCCAACAACAAACAAACAAAATAATACCGTACTCCAAGTGACGCCTAACTGGTGATTTCCATTGAAAGATACTTTTCTTGACTTGTAATCAATATGTCTATTACACTCGAAAATTCTATAAGCTGAATAAGATGCGTAATAAATATAATTGATAATAATTACTGTTGACTAATTCTCAAGAAACTGATCACATAAATAATGTCTCAACCACTACTCTGTCTGTCGTATCCCAGCCGGATTCCTGGTAGCGAAAGGCCTCGTCAGCACCTGGATATAGCAGATATAGTGTGGTTGACATAATATTAAAATATTTACGTTCATAAGTTGTTATAATTACTATAAATAGAACACTGTTTCGATTGCTTGAGTGACTTTTCCACCACTATGCCAAGACAGTTTGCTTTCGTCACGCTAATGAATGGGTTTCCATTCCTAATTATGATAACCCAAAGACTTACATTTATTAAATGTAAATGCCCAAATACTTGTCCGTTTTACAGCTTCATACAAGTCATTCCATAGTACTTCAAAATTCCAAATAAGGCTAGAGACAGGCCTGTATAATTACTAAAGCCTGCAGGGCACAGACCCCTAACTTCGAACTTTATATTTGCTGCTGTTTTCTGGGGTTAGTAAATAAAACAAGTTTTATGTGAATTTAATGTTTGAAATGTGTTGTATAATCTACTTAAAGATGAATAAATAAAACAATGATCTTTATAGAGATGTTTCGTATCCTACACTAAATCGAGTCTGTCGTGTTTCCATATCAGAAAACACTAATAGTTCCAACACAGATGATGCCATCGTCCTATGAAGATATATTTATTTGTCTCATTTTATTTTTTATCTACCAAATTAGTACAAAACACAATAAATACCCACCCGGCTTTTAAAAGAGTGGCATATTGCAATATAAAACTGAAGAATTATTCTTTTCACCAAAGAACAATGGTAAATTAACAGTCGTGTGTAAAAATGGTAAGGCTGTTGTTTATTTCAGTTTGGATACTTTTTGTACGACAAACGTATATCGATTATATCTTTCAGTGCAGCCCTATCTAGAAATACCAAATCATCTCATTTCATCAAGAAACTTTTCTTAGTCTTTGATTATGCCCCTACTAGTATATTTAAAGGAAACAAAAAAAGGCACAGACACTCCAAGAGTACAGTTTAACTGGTTTTTTTTTTTCTATTCAAACACCACACAACCCAGTTAACTACTTTTTCTCGCAACAACGCCTACAGAGGTGATTTTATTCACTAATCTTTTGTGTGGTATCTTATCAAAATATTTTTGGAAAGTCTACGTACACCAAGTTCACAACCTTTTTTATAACCCAGAAAATAAGTATTTAGCCTCGTAAACAAGTTAACAAATTATTAAGGCTAGATTTCTCTAGGGTGAATAAACCCATGCTGGCTTTCTTTTATTATATCATTGTTCGTTAAATTTTTTGCAAGCTTCTATATTCGGTCTCTCTAAACTTTGCCATCATAGAAGTAAGACTAATCTATCTATATACAAGTAAAGAAACGTTTTTGTTTTTAAAAAAAAGGATGTAAATGTAGGGATAGCTAATATCAATCCTTCGAAAACAATGCAAACAAGATAGTAGGGATATCTTTTGCACCATCCTTACATAATAGCACAGGCACACAGTGTAGTAGAATGTTAACAGATAAAAATGGGACAAATTAAACTGAATTGTAATTGAATAGTTACATATATTGCTATACGTTAATTATTGCATGTGCTATCATGATGCAAATGCCATGCCTATTATCTTGTTTGCATTGTTTTTGAAGTATTGATATTAGCCATCCCTACATTTACTTCATTTTTTGAAAAGTTTTTTCTTTACTTGTTTTTTTTTATTGCAGTGTTTCAATAGACATAGGAAGGTTGTATTTATAACAAAGTTCTAAATACAATAAGATTCCAACTGTAATACTTATTGTTTATCCATTATTGGCTGGTAATTCCTGTTTATACTTAAACTTTTTAGAAGAACACCAAATTTCACTGAGAAAGCTAACTTCAAGGGGTAATGATAACATCATTTACACTACAATTATGATTTTTTTTTAAAATTACTACTAGTCATTAATAATACTTATAAAACAGAGACTCCATTTGAAACTATGTCATCTCGGTGAAATTTGTTGACACCATTGTTTTGGGTTTAGAGTTATCATGTAATAAAAAAAGAAGCAGAAGAATAAGAAATTCAAACTTTTTTTGCTCTGATAATTACAGACATTCCCAGAACTTGACTCAGTCTTAACATAGATGTTGTTATTAATGAAAACACTGTATAGTATTGCAAAGGCTTATAACACTTAAAGCTGTGTTTCGATATCCGTGGTGGGAACATCAAAGATAACCTATTGTGTTGCTTTGTTGCTTCGTAACAAGTTCATTTTGACAACGGTTTTAGCATTAACTCTTAATCAGATAATATCAAAGTGTCGTTATTAAAAAACTGTTAATTACTTATTTTCAATATGAAACTGTTTAAAAGCGAATATTTCCCCTGGAGTTTCAGTTATTTTAATTAGCAGTATTTAAAGCATACTGCATAAGGTTAAGTGAGAGTCGGAAAATGGATACTGAGATAAATTCAATAACGTTGATAGGTTCCAATTACCTAAAAATCATTATTCATTTTCACCAAAAGCCTTATTGGGATTAAGAAGCGTTAAAGTTATTAGTCAAAATAAACAAAAAAAACAAGGATAAATCTGAAAATTTCTTTATTTCAAATTTCAATGTTTTAAATGAACTTAAACTATTGTCTGAAAATGATTACTTAAAGCTTTTTAAAGCTTATATATATAAAATTTTTTTACAACTTACTTTAGATAAGCAAAGGCACTAAATCCTACTCCATTTGTGATTGAGCACAACATCGAATTCTTTTATGCACTAAAAATTTAAGTAGTGTGATATTTTTTAATTCTACTGAAATTGAAACGTAAGATTTAAAATAAAAGTATAGGAATACAAGATTTATCATATGTATTTACAGCACACCTACGCAACAGCTGGCTAAGTTATGCAATTTATTCCTCACAGCAAAACTAATAAATAAAAAAGACCGGTCATAATATTAAAAAAAAAAAAAACACGTTTCATTACCAAGTTGGGCATTTTGTCGAAACATATATAACATTTTTCAAATACACCCACGCCTAGTATTAGAGCTATTGATAAGAACAGACTAAATTCTTAACTACTCTAAACCAAATAAAACATCCATAACATAAAACAATACTCTTGCTTTTTGAAATATCTACAAAAACTAATTTCATAAAAGTATTACCTAATGAATCTGTGCTATCACATCTCTAGAATCCGTTTTAATGCTTTATGGTGACATGATTTTTATTGTCTTACACTCCCCACACGTATACATCAATTCTTAAAACTAAGCATAAAACATCCATTGACCACAATGAGCACAATTATGCGAGAACAACGCATGAATGTTTACTGCAACAATAAAAAAAAGCCTATAACATATTTGTCTAAGTTTAAATCTTGCTTACGACTCTGTATGCTTAATAATACGGACTGTTTTAAACTTTTGTCAAAATATATCACTCATTTAACAATTATTCAGTAATTAACTGTAATAGTTAAATTCTTAAGAAAAAATAGAGTTTTGAAATATTCCCGAATGGATAAGCCACCCAACTCGACAGCATTTAACAAGTTTAAGTTAAGCCTAATTAGGCTTACTTGTGTATGTGTGTTATGTATATATGACACACACTCACTAAAGTAGTGTTCCACTTCTTTGGTTTAAGTTTTGTGAAGTTTTTTTCCTCTATACATTTTTGTATAAAAATAATTAGACGTCTTAACCTTGAGATACTTAAAACTGCACAATACAGTACCTTAATTTAGAAATCAAAAACAGTCATGAAAATCCATTCACAAACTGAAAATCCAATGGTACAAATACATAAAACATTAGGAAGACGCATTAAATTGTTCAAAGGCACATAGGAATATATCTCAAGAGTCGAGTAGGAACACATCTCTTGTTCTCAACATTTTTTTCATAATGATTAAAATTACAAATAGACAGATCATTAAGGGTGCAAAAATAGTTAAAACATTATAATACTATAATATTAATCGATCTTTAAAAGTTAATTGTCTAACGATTTCCACAATGCACATTTTAATAATAAAAAAGGAAAAAAAAAAGAAATCCTTTGGAAAACCTAATCCAGGCGCAAGACAGTACCCATATTTACACAATGGTTTTACCCCACTCCAACGAGCAGTGATATCGTTGGTAATTACATGTTTTAATTAAAATATCTTCTTAAAAGTTAGAATAAGAACATTGGCATAAATCAACGAGAATAATGACAGTGAAATAAGATCAACCAGAACACAGCTAATGAACCACAGAACCAACTCCTAATTAATAATCAAATCCTTTGAAATACTTTGTCTTAATTGATAAAATGTAACTAATCTTAATCAATGACAAGTCTAATATCTAACGTCAATTTTTATCACATAGCCCTCGTTTCAAAGATGTTATAAAAAATACTGAAATTCATGAGTTACTTAGTTGTACAGGTCACGTTCTGAAATACACATGTAACAAATTTGACAAACTTGTACAGCGTAATTATGTAATTTACAAAGTTTTATTACCAATGCAGTTCTAAAGAGTTAGTAGTTGAAGGCACTTAACTGATCACTTCTAACTGAACAAAGACTGTGTAAGATTACCGTGATTACGAATTTGCTGTGTCTTTAGTTGCCGTCCACTTTCAATACTAAATAAACTACTACTGCGATTTTTAACCAATCACTGAGGCTAACAGCTTCGTGTGTAACTGCTACTGCGATTTGTAACCAATCACTGAGGCTAATAGCTTCGTGTGTAACTGCTACTGCGATTTGTAACCAATCACCGAGGCTAACAGCTTCGTGTGTTAATGAAATAAAGTAAGAATTTTCACGGAACATAAATTCAAAAGCTACCAAAGCAATGATAGTAAAAAAACAACCAACAACAAATGTTTGTAAATCTTCCTGAAACAATAACAGTCGAGGAGAAAACAAAATTCTCTATCTCTATTGTTCTTGAATTACAGGAGAAACAATTTTTGTCAATAAAAATAAAGTGAAGTTTAAAAATTGCAATGTATATGCAATATGTTGACCAGATTGCCGTTGACTTTTTACTCGTCATTTCTTTTCTCTGAATTGAAGTCAACAATGGCATGTAGCTCTTCGGGTGTGTAACCCAAGAGAGACTGGAGATCACACACGAAACGATACACGTAACGCTTACCAGCAGTTTTGTGAATAATATTTTTATCATAATAATATCGCAGTCCACGACTTAACTTTTCATAATTCATTTTCGGTTTGTTTTTTCGAATGCCCCAACGACGGGCTACTTCATCTGGGTCAGTTAGTTTAAACTCCCAACCATCACCAGTCCAGCTGATGAACCCCTGGCAAGTCTTGTCTGTCAGAAGTTCCAGTAAGAACTGCCACAATTGAATTGGTCCGCTCCCTAAAAATTAAAATTAAAAAAAATATTAATATTTATTTTCTAAATATCTAATTAACACTGAATAAATAAAATGTTTTGAATACACAGTTTTAAAGCAAATATTGGTAATATAATTGTGTTTTTCAACTAAACATTAAAACGTGCTTAAGTTATTAACCAGAATAAAGTGAAATAATTAAGAAGTTAGTTGGCAAAATACTAACAAAGTGTTCGATAAAGCATCATCTAACATGGCTAATTTGTAATAGTCATAATTTAAATGAAGATCTTAGTATTTATAGTTTTAACGCGAATTCCTCCTTAATTCAGAATTATTCATTTATTATTATTATTATTATTTTTAAAACGAAAACGGGTTTCAATTTAAGGGTTATTTTTCTATTACACTTAAAATACCGACAACTTAGAAAGTGCTCTAGAGGGCTGGTTACGGATGCTTAAAGAAAATAAAATACGTGACACGTTTCAAACCAACGTTTCGTGAATTGACCTGTCGACCGATGATAATATGTAATTTGGAGTACGTAATGACCAAGTTAAAACAGTACTCCTGCATCCTTCAGTAGAACCCCTGAAGCGTCAAGACCTAATGGGCACTTTGATCATGTTAAAGGTTTGAGTTTGTTTTGGTTAAAACATAACGGCATATTTAATATATAATCATTACGTTTATTGTATTAATTCAGTACAAAAAAAAATCATAAATTTAATTTCATTCAGTTGCCAAATAAATTTTGAAACGAAATGGTTATTCTCAACCGAATAACGAGATTGACAGTCACTCTTAAAAGGTACTCACAGGCGAATTGTTTGTTTGTTTTGAATTTCGCGCAAAGCTACACGAGGGCTATCTGCGCTAGCCGTCCCTAATTTAGCGGTGGAAGACTAGAAGGAAGGCAGCTAGTCATTACCACTCACCGCCAACTCTTGGGCTACTCTTTTACCAACGAATAGTGGGATTGACTGTCACTTTATAACACTCCCACGGTTGAAAGGGCGAGCATGTTTGGTGTGACGGGGATTCGAACCCACGATCCGTAGATTGCGAGTCGAGCTCCCTAACCACCTGGCCATGCCGGTCCTCACAGGCGAAAGAAGGGAGCTTGTATGGTAGTACCACGTCCTGAACACGAGACCCTACGATTCCCAGTTCAATACACTAAACACTAGAACACACTCGTACCTTTAACAAAGTGAATGATGGCTAAAAAAAATAGTTTGATGCGGCAAACATAAGAGAGAATGCAATCAGAGGATCAATAAAAACGTTAAAAAGATACACTTAATTTTTTCTTAACACATCACTAGAAGTAACAGTTGACAATTAACTTAAAGTGACGAACACATGAAATTGAAGTAACAGAGGCGGACACTTTTCCATAATTTGAAGAAATAATCAATGAAAATAACAAAATATACTGGAATTTGGCACTTGGAATATTGAATCACCGTCACAAAATAAAATGTCAAAACAAGGTATGGACCCTAGGTTGTGGCAATTAAACAAAATAGCATTAGCCGTTCTTTGTGGCTGTTATGTCATTTTTTTGAACTTTGTGATTTTGCAATTTCTTGTAACTGATCTAATTTTTTTTCCGTTTCTGATAAAGAATTCATACTATTTATTGAAATTTACTAGTAGTAGATGGATGATATTGAAGACATTTATAACAAATATATTTATCAATCCTTTTTTCGACACTAGATGGCAGTATAAAATAAATGTAAATACAGTAAGATACAAAACGGAATAAATATTAGAATTCTTAATGAAAAGAAAACTACAACGGATAGTTCAGTCTGTTCCGAAGTTGAATCATTAGCAGATGAGGTAGCATCATACAGATTTCTAATTTCTTTAGCCTGGTACGATAGGCTTGTTGTGGAAATAATCTAGCCAGCAATCAAATACAGAACTCAACCATGAGAATTGATATTGCTAGTAATTTCGTCAATAGCTAGCGGTAATCCTTCTTCAATATAGAGAAAATGGTTTTCTAGGTGCATAAAACAACTAAATACTTAGTTGTTCCAGAATTACTGAAGACTGATATTGGACGAAAGAAGTGTTTTTTTTTTTTAATTACGAATTTGAGGATGAACTAATCATTACTATGCAACACTGGTCCAAAACCGATTTTTTTTTCATCTTCTACGTTGTAAAGGGCTGTGCTTTAATGAAATTTAAAGATAGATTTGAGTTAATCCGTAAATAAATGTCAGTTTTTGGATTTCTTTCTGAAGTTAAAAGCAATTTAAAATGTTGAACACAATGAACTGGAAAAATCGTGCGTGAATTTAGCTGTGATACTATCCAGTCAGATGTTCACGGAATTGATTTAGCGGTGCATGAACTTAGCTGTGATACTATCCAGTCAGATGTTCACGGAACTGATTTAGCGGTGCATAAATTTAGCTGTGATACTATCCAGTCAGATGTTCACAGAACTGATTTAGCGGTGCATGAATTTAGCTGTGATACTATCCAGTCAGATGTTTACGGAACTGATTTAGCGGTGCATGAACTTAGCTGTGATACTATCCAGTCAGATGTTCACGGAACTGATTTAGCGGTGCATGAACTTAGCTGTGATACTATCCAGTCAGATGTTCACGGAACTGATTTAGCGGTGCATGAATTTAGCTGTGAACACTATCCAGTCAGATGTTCACGGAATTGATTTAGCGGTGCATGAACTTAGCTGTGAACACTATCCAATCAGATGTTCACGGAACTGATTTAGCGGTTAAACTTCAAGAGAAATTTGATACTCTTAATATACTACACTTTATTTACAAAAATGATTTAGCATAAGTATTATCTCAATGCGTGAATTACTCTAAGGAAGGTCTTACATTTCCAATTACTGAACAGATAAAGATAAAATAGGCAGCAACTGCCTAGTATCATCTATAAAAGAAAGTTCCAATTACTGCCGAGAGGAGTTTTTTTTAAAAGTTGACCTTAACTTAAACCTATCTGAAATCGTCAATGTCTAAGGAGAGTTTTATAGATTCGTCACGCTCTCCATCGAATAAGATGTTACAAGAAGGTTGAAAATATTGTAATATGAGCAATTTAAAAGTAAATTATCACACCTTATTAACTATATAATAATAGGAAAATCTGTATTTCTAAGTAAGTAAGATAAATTTCTCAGTCTTACGTCAAATTTGTGTATTGAAAGGATTTTACAATTAAATACCTTTCAGAGTATTCAGATTCTTTTTATATATTGACGTCTCTGAAGACAATCATTGAAATTATTGCTACAATCATTAGTACATTTCAGAAACTAACACCGTGTCGATAAAAATACTCCTTTATCTATCTAGATTTAAATCTCCTACCAACTGCAATGTTAGACATAACCAGCAAAGAATAAGAAATAACCTTTTCCGCAGCTTATCGTGCTATTTTAATGTATCTTTACTGTCTCAAAAACTGCAATAAAAAGTCACAAAACGGATGCGAGCCTTTCTATACCTTTTACACGAAATCTAAAGTTTTTGACTAGCATTTAGAACATTGTGCCTTGCAAGGTCTAATAAGGGTTCTGTGACAATAATAACAAATCTAGACGTTCTAGTAAACGACCAAACAGATAAACCAGACTATATCAGACTAATGGAAATTTAGAATGTCTTTAAACAAGCTTTAAAGCTACAGAAATAGCTATCACAGTTTTAATTATATCGTTTCTTTCTATACGGATTAACTTATAATACAAAGTCACCACGAACGGATGATAATTCAGTTAAATTGAAAACACTATAAAAGCAGCATGTTTTTCTTAGGGTTAAAATACGATGATCTAAATACCAAATTATCAGTTTTACTGATAAGGCACATAAAGTGGGATAGAAATGAACGCTCACTGTGAAATTAGCTTTAGCATTAATAGTGTAACCCTGTCTTATGTCTTAACATTGTACTTTTTTTCCATTTAAAAGTGATTTTCAATTAAGTCAGTATTATTGGGACTGATTTTTAACGGATCTTAAATGCTTGATTCGGATCACTGAACTCGTCCAATAAAAAAATTCAAACTATTGCTTTTTGTCTATCGGTTTACAAGATTACATACTTTTAAAAACAATGGTTTTCTTTTGACTTTGCTCTAATTTAAATTTTTTCGTGCTTGTTAAAATGATTCCATATCAATGCCAAACAGATTACCAGGCCTTCCGAATCTTGTTTTAACCAATAACATACCCGAGTAACCCGAGAGAACAGCGGCTTGAATGATTGGCTTGGTATCATCACTTCCCGTTAAAGGACCCTGACCGTGATTCTGGGTTTGGATTTGGTTTTCCTGATTCAGAGTAGAATTTGAGTCTCGGATAGAGAGCCCCGCAAAGGCTGGGTGGAGATGATGATTATTATGGATAAATGAACTGCTTAGAGGTCCAGGATGTCCTGCCAATTCAGACGACCAATGATCAGTTGGGCTGTGGAGAGATCGTGGAACAGTTTGGAAAGGTGGTTCATAATGATGTGGTACATAGCCTTCGGAAGAAAGTAACTCGTGAGAGTACCGAACTGTAATAGAAACAATATTTTCGTATCGTAAGATTATTTATTTATTTCACACACACACACACACACACACTCTTGTAAATGTTGACAAATTTTTGATGAAAACAAATTTGAAAGTTTTGTTAAAAACCTAGAAGTTTTTCTTTCATTACATATAATATTAATGCGTTATTTGTTATATAAACTGGAGATCATTTAGTTTAGAAAAAAAAATCATATTTCTTGCATATTCTTTAAAATTTGCTTTAGCATATTCTTGCATATTCTTTAAAATTTGTTTTAGCGTGATATAAACAAATTAATTCCGACTCGAATATTTTGCGACTTAAAACGATTCTTGATAGCTCACGCTATTAGGACAATTACGATAAACAACTACAGCGACAAGTAAAACTGTCATTGGACCTTTATCTTATAAAGGTACACTTAGAAACAAAACCACACTCTTGCTGACATAACACATTTAATACCTCTACACGTGATAACGTAAATTCTCATTGCTCTGCTGTTTACGACACGTATGTATTCAAAGATGAACATTGCTTACTTTCATCATCCAAATGTCTTATTTTTTAATAATAAATAACTAATGTTTTATATCTGAGAGAAACTAATAAGAATGATAGTTATTATACCTGTTTTTTCACCTCTTTGAAAAACTAGAAACAAGTTTGAGTTAATGACGACATCACTGGATTCGATACTCTTAAGAATAAAATTAAACTTTGGTTTAAATTCGTTTTCACTACAAGTTTTTTTATAAATGATAAATGGCTACAATGACATCATATAGGAACCTCCGTTAGAAATATGGACAAACTTGCTTAAAATTACATTATTTTGTACCAAATCGATGTTAAGATCTTTCATGTGCTTCACTAAGAAATAAATCGCGACATAATGAAGTTAAAACTGAAATCTAATACCAATTATTAAACCCAACTTGCCACACTCTAAAAATTAGCTTAAAATCTTGTATTTAACATTATTTATTCAAATAAGCTACAAAATGATATCGTAAAAGTCTACCGGTAGCCATAATGATAGTACTTAATATTTGCAGTGCATTCTATGGTTTTTCAAGACTTCCTTAATCTTTTTAATCTTAAATATAGGTTTAATGAGGAGTTAAAGGTTCTTTAGATTCCACCATCCAGACCTCAACAGATAATAATGGTGTTTTTTTAAAGCATGGCGGTTTCAGGTTTACATCTTCAAAGAATGTTAAAATTTACTTCAACATATTGCTTACGTTGTTCACATCGTATCAATTGCCATAACTCCTGTGATTTTTGTAATAATTCAAGAATTTTACCCCTGCTGGTGATAAATATAATACTTTAAGTTATGTAAATAGGTATTTTATTCAAGTATAATATCACTTTAATAACTACGAGTTATCTGGTTGTTGTTGTTTTCAAAGCATTGTCACTAAAAATACAAGTCCTCTCTTAGTGAGTTATTTTATCGTAATGATTTGGTAGTTTTTGTGATTCAAACTATTTCTAGAGTAAAGACCTGCTAATTAACATATTTAGTAATTGTAACACAGCCTGGTGTCAAACTAAGATTTAATTTTATCAATTTCAATAAGCCACCAAATTAATTAATAATTGTTTTCATAACAGGTCTCCTTTAATAATTCTGTAACGAAGGGAAATATAAATATTAGGTGCCAATTCATATTTAAGACTATTGACAAGTTTATGGTATACCAATATCACTTTCCATAAATTAAACTCAAATTATCGGCTAAAAACATTTTACAATCCCAAATGAATCACTCATATTATCGGCTAAAACATTTTACAATTCCAAATGAATCACTCAAATTATCGACTAAAACCATTTTACAATTCCAAATGAATCACTCAAATTATCGGCTAAAAACATTTTACAATTCCACAAGAATCATTCATGCACTTGGAAAACGTCAACAACCCGTCATTTTTATAAGCTATTTTCAATAACATAACACAGATAATTTTTTTAAGTGTACACCAATTTTCTTTGTTCTCTTTAACAGCAGGCACTTAAGATGTACACTTGACTACTATGGCACCACCTTGATACACAATTATGCATCCCAGAGTTACCTGGTGGTATAGGTGATCAATTTTATACCTTTACGTTAGCAAAATATCATTTGTACATGTAGTTTTGTTTATAATGTTTTTATACTAACACACTCTATTGATATATTGGCACCTGGCATTTACAGTGGTCTTTGTAAGAGTGACAACTGACAATACATATCACCGGAAATGTAAAAACCATTCAACAGTTTTTGTTATTACCTAAGCAAGATTTGAAACGATACTGGAATATCTATTCTAATGTATAACAATGTCTACTTTTCGTGCTATGAATGAAATGGGAAATTAACTGACATATGTTCTGAAACTAACACCTCTCTAACCATGTAATGTAATACTGTACAAGTTCAATGGTAGAGAATGTTATTGAAGGTGTCTCTATCTTATAACAGTAAGTTAGTTTTTTCGTAGAATGTCAAAAAGAATCAAAATGTGAAAAAAAAACTATTATAAAGCTAAACAGTGATAAAACCTACACAATATCTTTGGTATTTTTTTGTATAATTCAGCGTAGCACTTAAATACAAATAAATATAGTGCCTTTCACATGTTCATCACTCGTGAATAAGTAATGGCAATTCTGGATACCTATTAACAATAACTGAGATATGATAATTTGTACCCCTCCATCTGTTCCTAGGTTCATATTTTACCCGAAAAAAAAAAAGCTTCTGGAGCTGCATTGTTCAATTAAGCAACATTCTTAATTGAGATTTTTGGAGAGAAACAAGACTGGAATATACTAGTAAGCACGATCTGTTACGGTAGGAACACACGTTTGTTTTCAGAAAATACATCCTACAACTTTGACAAACGTGTAATAAAGACTCCTACTGAAAGCATCTGAAGTGTACTTACGTCTTGTGTAGCTTTTCGTAGGATAGCTATGCTGATAGCTGTTTTCTGGAACCATAAGTGGTGTAGAGGGGCTTGGGTAAAACTCGGGACTAGCGTCCAAACAGCCCGGATGAGGGGTATTAGCCTCTAACCCGTATTCTTGACCGTCATCAAACTGCTGATTTAAGCCCATCTCCTCGTGGTTCATGTCATTCAATGTGTGTATTGACTTGGTGATGTGATTATACCCACCTGGAAGAAGGAACGAAGTATAGATAATGTTTTAATACATATAGGCTTAAATGGACATAGTATTAAATTTTATTTTTAAAAAATAACAATTAAGTAAATGAAAAACAATGTTTACACTCTTTAAGTGTCTTCTGTAAGAGTAGGAAAAAAATCTCCAATCGGGAATTGTTTATTTGGTCTAAGCCAAGCAACAAGTAACTGAATACAAAAAATGGTAAAAACTTTGTGTTTCTTTTAGAGCAGTTATGACTGTATATAGCTGACTCCCCAAAAAACTTAAGTTTTGACATAATTAATCAAACTATAAAATGCTAAATGTTATAACTGTAACTTAAATTTACGTTTTTGAATATCCTCAAGAATATGCTTTTATAAAAGAAATGTTGTTAAATTTGCATAAACATTCAGGTCTTTGCTTATTTTTAGCGCAAAGCTACACGATACTTTATCAACCCTTTGACCACTGCGGGGATTCAAACCCCAAATTTTAGCGTTGCAAGTCCGTAAAGTTACTGCTGACCTACTGGGTGAACCAAAAACTGTCCAAAAATATTAAACATATGAATAAACATATACATGAAAATAATTCCTTGTCAGTTAGCAAGCTTTTATTATAACGTTGAAATCCATGACATTTAATGGAGCCATAATTGAAGAAAACAACAACAAAACATTATAAAGTCATACATTAACATCAAAAAGGGAAAACTTTCTTCGTTTTTTTCTATAGAAACTGGAACAAGAAATAGCAAATATAAAAGAGAAGCCAAGTTTCCCCCATCATTTCTTGTTTAGCTTACCAAATTCTGTGAATTTTAGTTGCGTTGCAACGCTGACTCACCTTCTATATAATCATTTGTATTTTGAGTAAATATATATATATGAGTATGATGAAACTGACATCAGCTTCCCTAGCGGTGATGTACAGATACTAGTAATGTAGTAGAAGAATATGTAAATTTACGATCACATGAGGTTGTACTCTCGTGACCTTCTGTGTGAATAAATACCCTGCCAGAAGCTTCACTAGGAGACAGAGTCATGAAATAGTTATTGCGAATAAATTATTTTTGCTGTTGAACCTTTATTGTAGCGCCGTCTTCATTTTAGACAGTTACAATTATTTTAAACTTCATTAAAAATAATCTTCTACCCAACGTAAGACTCGAGTACCATCTATCGGGAGATCCTTTCTACACAGTTGCAGAGTTTCAAGACCAATAAACAAATACTTCATTTCAAATTTTCCACCTGTCCCTTGGGCCTTTGAGTCATGTATTTTAACCTAACCGCTGTGGAAAGCAATTAATCATTAAAATTATCAAACATATTGATATACTTGATACAGCTGTTTAAACCCTATTTCTGATGAAATTAAACCTGTGGAAGTTTGTTTCGTGCCGGTTCTCGTTTGTTTACCGTATGTTTTACCTCTTCAACAACGAGAATAATAATAATTTTTCCACTTTTTTGAGACCTTATTTTTTAAAAATCTGAAGCAGATACGAGGCTGTTGTTTTTAATGAGATGCAATCATTTAGATATATCCAGAAACACATGAATAGTGGCATTCCAGCGTTTAGAACAGTTGTGGCAATACCCCAGATTTGGCCTCAACTCATTATCTTTTATTGATTAAGATTGCAGCAGTGTGTGTGTACAGCTAACTCCTCCAACGGTTTTGAAACTAGCAGGACCAGGACTGGCAGGTAGTATCAGGGTGGATGAGAAGGGCTTACCTGTACGCGTAGCCCTCTATTAAAGGGGGTATGAAGGGGATAACATGCTCTTGGCAGGTCACACGCTATTTCACGGATGTATATTGTCAGCACAGTGTTAACAAATTCGAGAACGGTCTTAGTTTAAAAATAGGCTGACTAAAAACTAACACTAACACATGTTATTACTTAGTATCTTTAGGAAATATTAGATAATTTGTTAGGGTCTTATTATTCATTTTTTATGATAAAAAATAGTTACTCTCTTAACAGTTTTCTAGCGTTATAACTTGCTGTTAACAGAGCAGTCACTGGATTCACGAATACCAAGTAAATTACAATAACTCAACACTAAATACAGTATTCTGTCATAAAATGTCTCACTAACAAGGCTTACCAAAGAAGCGGAGTGATTTGTAATCTCCTTAAAAATAGAAGTTTGTTTTTAGCACAATGCTACACAATAACCTATCTGCATTTAGGTCACCATAAGGAATTTAACCTCAGATTTTAGCGTTGTAAGCCTGAAAACTTACCGCTGACCCACTGGAAGGAGACAACAAATTCTACTGCAGTAAGATTATGATAAAAAAACATTTCAAATATTAAGTATAAAATTATATCTTCTAGAAATACTCACTCACTCTTCAAACTTAAACTCCCCCTGTCATCATTCTGAATAAATTTCCAATTTAAAATGTTAAATGCTTTCATACGTATAATAGAGAATAATATAAAACAAAGACATTAGCGCCCTCGAGCGGCTGTTAGAGTAACACTAATGCTGTGCGTAGTAACAACCTTAGACACATGTAAAACACAATTTATAAAATAATAGCAATCCGCAAATAAATTAAAGTATTATGTTAGATGTGAAACAATTGTACAAAAAAAAGTGTAGCCCGCGATAAGTTATATTAATTTAGCTTCGTATCTACGTGTTTCTTTGTTCCCTCAACAGCCTAAGAACCAATGATTCTTACGGGTTTATTTAACTAAACAAAACAATTGGCCATATTGTGCTTGCATTAAATAAAAGCGTTTTAATCACAAATTGTAGTCCCGCACTGCCAACCAGCTTTATAGTTTCTCTTTACCAGTAGTACTTATGGAGCAAAGAGAACGTAGTAGGCCTAAATCCAAGTGATTAAAGTGAGGTAACAAAAAAGAAAAGGCGATGCGACATAATAGCATAAAAAAAGAAAAAAATAACACACACACACACACTTATATAGCTATATGTATGATTTATTGCTACAAAAAATCCTACCACGCACTTATGTTGATATTCTCCAGAAACAGCAATATCCCCCACCCCCAAATACATTATTCCAACATCTTTTTCAAATCACTTGTTAAGACTAAACCTGAGTTTAAGTACATAGAAGTGCAACATTTGCATCTCGACTCCATTGATAAGATGTTTAATGTTTACATGTGTTACATAGTAGCAATCTAGCTAATTAAAGTTTTCCCTTTAGTTTATGTTGTTAGAAATCCAAGAAGTTCGGTAACCTTTAACGTACCAGTAAAACAAGTAATCTAACAACCTTTAACAGGATAGTGAAAAAAAGGCTAGCAAAAGATAAATTAAATTTTAAACAGAGTTTTTGTGATAAGTTTTAGGCTTGTACTTTTTAAGTTCTTCTATCGAAAACCAAATTTTATATTTGATAATTTTTTTTTGAAAATGATGAGCTTAAATTATAACATACATAGAAATGTGCAAGTTGGAATTTGCTTCACACACTTGTAATGAAATACCTGTCATTTCGTACAAATTTGTCTGTTTTTTCAATGGACTTGTCGTGGAAATGACAAGAAAATAATTTACTGGATAACTAACGAGTTTTTATTATAATAAATTCAAAACAGATGTCATCTACATTGGCTTTTTGAAATATACATACACGTCATCTTTCCAGGATACAAAATATAATCAGTCGTATGTACATGTAATTACAGACTATCTAATACTGTCAAGGTTAATACCGATACAGGTACATAATACTGACATTTGTTAAAGTATGTAAGTATTTAAATATCCTTTTATGGATTATCTACCCTCACTTTGAAACCTATAACGTGGATCTCAATACAGGAAATTTAGCTGAAACCCTTTATCCACAGGGTAAACATTTTATTGGTAATTGTTCTTGAATAACTCTTTCAGATGATGCAGAATATATGGGAAAATAGAATCGACAACACTTGTACTTGAAAAAAAGGTTTAAACTCGTGAAAGTATTTTATGTCTCCTCTTTCGTTCGTTCCTTGACCGTTGCTTGGTTTGAATTTCGCGCAAAGCGACACGAGGGCTATCTGCGATAGCCGTCCCTAATTTAGCAGTGTAAGACTAGAGGGAAGGCAGCTAGTCATCACCACCCATCGCCAACTCTTGGGCTACTCTTTTACCAACGAATAGTGGGATTAACCGTGATATTATAACGCCCCCACGGCTGAAAGGGCGAGCATGTTTGGTGTGACGGGGATTCGAACCCGCGACCCTCAGATTGCGAGTCGAGCGCCCTAACCACCTGGCCATGCCGGGCCTCCTTCACCGTTGCATGAAGTTACGTTGTAAGTTGTCGTTTCCTTTCCTCAGGCCAGATATAAAGTTACACTTACAAACATCATTGTTGTGATCGACAATGATCGCACTGAAGTGACACCTACTCGATATTAAAGCTTCTCAAAGTTAGAAAGTTTGGTTGATGATTCTGATATAGATACTTGTCTATAAGCGTGATTTTCATGTTTTT